GAGGGAGAGGGAGAGGGAGACACAGAATCCGAAGCAGGCTCCAGGCTCTGAGCTGTCAGCGCAGAGCCTGACACGGGGCTCGAACCATGAACCGTGAGATCATGACCTGAGCTGAAGTCGGATGCTCAACCGACTGAGCCACCCAGGTGTCCCTATCTCTATTTTATAAATGAGGAAACAGACACACAAGGTAGTTAAAGTCATTTGCTAAAGGTCACCTAGCTAGTGAGTGGTGGTGCCAGGATTTGAATCCAGGCTCCAGGGTCCAATTTTTGAATCACTATACTCAACTACATATTTCAAACAAAACAAAGTGTGTGTGTTTATATAATTTAATTTAAATCAAGTACATTTTTAAGTTTGCATATATTTAGATTTATAGTTCTGGAAACAGATTCAATAACTTGTCTTCTACCCAGTGTGTTCTTTTTCCTTTAGACTTTAATAAGAATGGAAAACATCAATTACTGATTGGTACACTAGCCATTTCACATTTAGATATTCAAAAAAGTAAACATTTATTGTTTAAAATATTTACAATGTACAGCAATACCCTGCCCCAGACATATGACTGCCATTTTGAAATAACCACTGTATAAAAGCATATTATAATAAAAATATATGCACATCTCCATGGGAATACTAATTATTTTCTTAAAAAGAAAATGACCTTTAAACATTTACACACGGAGGCGCCTGGGTGGCTCAGTCAGTTAAGCGTCCGACCTCGGCTCAGGTCATGATCTTGCGTTTCATGAATTCAAGCCCCACATCGGGCTCTGTGCTGACAGCTCAGAGCCTGGAGCCTGCTTCGGATTCTGTGTCGCCCCCTCTCTCTGCCCCTCCCCTGCTTGTGCTCTCTTTCTCTCAAAAAATGAATAAATGTTAAAAAACAAATTTTTTTTAAACATTTACACATGATATTGAAATACTGCACAAGAATTTTGAAATGATAATTACATACCTAATTTTCCCCTGTTCTGTCAAGTCTCCATCACTATGCAATATTGTAGTTAGCAATCTTAAGGTAGAAGTTCCTGATTTACTGTGATTATTTTTCATTCCAAGGAGCCATCGAACCATCATTTTAATAGCCTGAATCTATTTAAAAGACAAATTGACAAATACAACATTGCTACATTAAAAGAAAAATTCTGCATCAACCTTCAAAAAAATGAAATGGTTTCAATGGATGCTTTTTAAGAAAAGGAAAGGAAAAAAGAATCATTCTTTTCTGCATATATCAAGATAACGGAATGCCTTAAAGATGTTTTACCCACCCACCCATGCAACTGACGAATGATAGAACTAAAGACTAGTTCTTTTTGTTTAATGTTTCCCCATCATAAGCTTTACTCCTTAGACCCCACGGTAAATCATGCTAACTTTCTTAGTCAGAAAAGTTAAGTTCCCAACTACAAATTATATTCCATCTTTTGTGCTACATTTTATAATATGAAGTACTTAAGTACTTTAAAATATGTTACTGCCTTTAATGTTTCCAACAACCCTTTTTGAAGAGGTGCATATTACCTCGTTTTCACTTATTATCTTAGTTTTTTACAGATCTATGGCTCAGGAGCTAAGTGGGTCTAGAACAATGGTATATGGCAGAAACTTTTCAGATCCCTCTCAAAGGGCATTTGTTAAGCATGAACTTAAGTGCAGGTCACCTGCCTTCTAGTCCAGTGCTACCTGACTACACAAAACTGCTGCTTGAGACCAATGCTGAGAAAACAGGTTTATACTGGAACTAAAAGCACCAAGCATCATTCCACCAGCTGCAGAAACAGCATCAAAATCTGAAGCTGGAATAACGTGACAAAATAGTTCCTAATATAAAATGTAAACTAGTACACACATACACACACAACACGAACAGATTTATATGAAACACAACTAGAAAAACAGTATCTAATATATTTTTTCCTGGCAGTGGAATGAGATGTGGTCTACATTACAGACTGTAGATCCTTTTAATAAATACTCTCTACACTAGTGATGAATAATCTTTTATGTATTACTCCTACTTCAAGGAACAATGGGTTGAATTGTTTTTTAAATCAAAATAAAAAGTTTTATCAAATCTCATAGAAAAGGTGAATAGTCTTCTCCTGGATGACCATCTTTACTGAATAGGAGAATGTACATGAGAAAACCAGCATGGTCTTTTCTAAGCAGCAACATGGAGGCAGTTTTAAACACTTTTTTTTTTTTTCTTTTCACATTAGATTATGTGCAGTTGCCCATGAGGCCTCAGGTTTTCATTACTGCTCTTTACTCTCAAAGCAGATGGAGGGCGCCTGGGTGGCTCAGTCGGTTGAGCGTCCAGCTTCGACTCGGGTCATGATCTCACAGCTCATGAGTTCGAGCCCCACGCTGAGCTCTGTGCTGACAGCTCAGAGCCTGGACCCTGCTTCGGATTCTGTGTCTCCCTCTCTCTCTGCCCCTAACCCAGTCATATTCTGTTTCTGTCTCTCTCAAAAATAAATAAACATAAAAAAAAATTTATAAAAGCAGATGGGATAATGTCATATAATAAATATAAACACTTGGATGATTTTAACAGCCATATCTTTATAACAGGAATTTTAATACCTATAATGATAATACAATCTAGTGAATGTATTAAAATAAAAAGGTCTATGTATATCACTCACTTTGACCATTGTCTCAGGAGAAACTTCTTCATCTGGAACCCAAAGCTTAGTTGTCTTTTTTCCTGGGAGCTAAACAAAAATGAAGGACATTAAAACATAAATAAGAATTTTCATGTTTAATTAATACTTAGTGAATGAATGAAGTCTTTATCTTCTGCAGTGATGGTCATTATAGATGACTAACCTACCTCATCTATTTCTCAAAAAGGTTGACTTATCTTCACTAGCACCCACATATAGCACTTACACATCCATCAGCAGTTGATGCTTTATAAGTGTGAGGAAGGACCAACTCTAACCACTTAAACATATGCTTCCTTACTTAGCCCTTTGAGACTAATGATTCAACTATTTAAGGCAGTTGGCACAGACTAGGATCAAACTCAACAAAGCCAAAAAGCAGTTCTTAAACAAGGGGTAAGATATATACAAAAAATTTTGAGAAGAAAAATTAGGAAGACTTGCAGTTGACTCTAACGAAGAAAAAAACATGCATTAATATCTTCCTACCTAAATCCCACCAAAATGGCAACAGATACACAGCAGGGCTGGAAACCAAAAAGGGCCAAGGAGAAGGCCAGAACCTTAGAAAATTGAAAAACAAAAAATATACAGTAAAAAAATGAACAGAGCTAGAAGGTTTCCATCTCCATAAAAGCACAGAAGGAAATATCCTCCAAAAAAGTTTGGGTGTTTTTTTGTTTTGTTTTTTTAAGCACAATCACAGAACAATCCTGAGATGACAAAGCACAGGCGTTGCAATACATGTGAATTTACAGTGGCAGCCAGGGAACTAAAGTAAGATGACAAGAGAGCTGAACCCAATCTTGGAATACTAGAGATCCAGTATGCTGCCTGATGACAGGAGTGATTTCCAGAGGGAGACTCAGAAACAGAACTCAAATGGCAGCTCAGGTAACTCTTGGGCAACAGGACAGGTGGTCCCAACATCCAGAAGGCAAACTTGTCAAACACATACAGCTTTCGGCTCACTTCAGTTGAGAAATGCCTTCAAAGTATAAAGTGGAAATAATGAAAAAGCAATCACATTAGAAATGTTCTGATGAAATTTCTGAACTAAGAATATCAAAAAGATCCCAAAGATTCCATGGGGAAACCTTCCAAAAAACAAGTGAAAATCAGATCAAGTTGAGATTTCTCAGCTGCCGAGACTAGATGCCAAAAAACAATTTTCTGAATTTTCTGCAGCCAAGTGCCCTGAAACATAGGATACCAGTACTCAAGAATAAGGGAAAATATATTTTCAGCAAGCTAAGACACAGAGAAAGTTTCCAAGTTATACACCATTTTGAAAGAATTATTCAAATATATATTCTACTAAAATATTCAATTCATAAGAAAAAGTCAATCAGTATATATTACAAAATAGAAAAAGTTATAAATAAAACCAACAGACTCTCAGATGGTTCAAAATAATATAAATCCCAAACAGATGCAATAAAATCAATGACAGAGTAAATGTACAACTAACAAGATGAAAAAATGTATCAGTCAAGATCAAAGGCATGAAATGGGATATGGATTTGATTGGGACACTGGTGTAAATAGGATACTGATGTGCTTTTTAAATCTTATAACACAGCAAGATATAAAATTCATGAACATCTGTACAACTAGCAGAATATCAAAATAAATCAAAACAAAAATGATTTAAAAAAAAGAGTAAAAGATAGAAAATGTCATCACCACAGAAGACTTGACTATATCACTTTCAAAACCTGATATATGAAGTGGGGATGAAAAATGGTAAGCAGAGGAAACACATATAGAAATATAAGGAAATTAGTAGAGCGATATAATATTTAAGGATTAGAAATTTTCTCATTTCTAATAATCAAGACTGGCATTCTTCAGAAAAAAATAAAAATAAGGAGAAAAGAGTTTATTTAGCAAGAAAAATGAACAAAAGACTCAAACTATAAAATAATTCTCCAAATCACAACCACGAATATAATACAAAACTTAAAAAATCAAAGTACCTAACAAAGTTTTACAAGAAAATTTTTCAAATTTTCTTTATAAAGAAAATTACAAAACTTTAAGGAAAGACACCCTGTAGATGAGCCAACAAAGCATCCGTAAAGAACAGAGGGTATAAACAATATAAGTGGTACAATGCAGAGGACTGGAAGAAGGAAAGATTACTCAATAATCTATGATGGGAAATTTGGTTGCCCTAATGGAAGAAAAAAGAAATGAAATCCTTAAAGTCACAGCATACAAACAAATGAATTAATTCCAGATGGATTAAATTTTTTTAATGTGAAAAGAAAACCTTAAAACTTTTAGAACATACGGGAGACTATTTTTGTAACACTAGAGTAGGGAAGGCTTTCTTAAAGATGTAAAAAGCACTAACTACAAAAGAAAGGAATAAATTTAGCTACATTAAAATTGATAATTTTTGTTCAAAAGACACCACACAAAGGGAGTAAAGACACACCATAAATGAGATTTTATGCATTTATTATCAAGATATTGCAACATATACCCAGAAAAGCATTAATGTGTGTTAAGATTACTTATAAAAGACAAAAAGCTCAGAAAAAAAGGCAAAAGACCTCAAAAGGAATTTCAGAAAGAGGCAACGTAAATAGTAACTAGACATAAAAACTTAATGAACAACCAGGGAAATGCAAATTAAGACCAGAATGAGTCTTAATGTATTTTCTAACTAATAAATGGGCAAAAGTGAAAAGATCTGACAATCCTGGGTATATATACTGCTAATAAAAAATAAGTTTTAACACTGATTTTGAAAAATAATTTGGGAATGAAAAGTTAAATGTGTGTATACACTGTGATTCATCAATTTCACTTGTATAACGATAACCTAGAGAAATTCTTGCTCATATGCAACAGGTGGCCTCTATAAGAAAATTCATAGGGGCACTGTTTCAGAGAGGAAAGAAATGGAAATATTCCAAATGTCCACTAAGAGAATACGTGTAAGTGATTTCACACACTGATATCATAATGCAGAGTAATGAATGAAGTACAGCTAGATATAATAACAAGGATTATATGAAGAAACAAATGTGTAATGACAGAAGCAAATCAGCCAAGAATATATATGGTATAACTCAAACATACGGATTGAGCCCCACGTTGGGCTCCATGCTGACAGTGTAGAGCCTGCCTGGGATTCTCTCTTTCCCTCTCTCTCTGCCTCTCCCAGGCTTATGCATTGGCTCTCTCTCTCAAAATAAACTAACATTAAAAAAAAAAAAAAAAAAAAAAAAAAAAAAAAAAAAAAGGAATAAGTAAAACTAAACAAGTATTTTAGAGATATACATGTGGTAAAGTGTTTTGTTTTAGTTGGGGATTAATAGATCCCAATTCAACACAGTGGTTACCTGGGACAGAGAAGACACAGAAGGAAAGGTCTGGAGAGTAATAAACCAGGAGCTAACAATACATAAGTGTTCACTGTATTATTATAAAACAAGTTACAGAAATGTTAAATATATACAGATCAAAAATAACATTAAAATAAGACAAATTAATGGGTTAAAAAAGGTGAAAGTTCTGTTTCTGACAAAAGCTGATTAGACTTTTTGAACCATCTTCCTTGGAACAAACAGAAAGGTTAGATAACAGATCTTTTTTTTAAAAAAATCAGTTTTAAGGTGATAAAAGAGCTACCAAAGCAGTGAAAATTTGCAGGATAAAGTTTCAAAAGAAGAGAGAAATCAAGAGATTTGAGTCTGGCCCTAGGATTGCTTTTCTCATAAAAACTGATAACTGATTCTAAAAGGGAAAGAAACTGACAATTAAGCAATGTTTTCATCACTGTCACAGAGGTGGAAAGGAAAAAAACTGGAATTCTGGGCCCAATAAAGAACAGAGTCCCTATAAAACATGCTGAACATCTAGGTGGATCCCTAACAAATACACCCTACACCTAAAGGTGATCAGAAAAAGAATCACCCTGTCAGAAACTGAAGTCTAGCTTCCAAACAGTGCATTCTTGACTGGACCAACGTGATCTGACAACAGCTCAACTACCTATCAGCAGGAAAAATAAATCCTCTTCAGAAGAATTACAAAATTATTCAGAGCCTCAAATTATCTGTAACATTTTTCACACACAAAATCTACCACTCAATCAAAAATAACATGTACAGGGCACCTGGGTGGCTCAGTAGGTTGAGTGTCCAACTTTGGCTCAGGTCACGATCTCACAGTTTGGGAGTTTGAGCCTCACATCAGGCTCTCTGCTTTGGATCCTCTGACCCCCTCTCTCTATGCCCCTCCCCACCTCTCAAAATTAATATTTTAAAAAATGTGTATAGGACAAGATTTTACCAAAAAGAGAAAAAAAAAAACAAAACAGATAAGACAAAAAGAGCCACAGGTGATGTAGAAATTAAGGCTGATGTCAACATTAACATAATTAAAGAAGTTCAATAATTAAATGACAAGATAGAGAATTCTGACAGGGAACTAAAAGCTATACTAAAAACTACAGGGGGGCACCTGGGTGGCTCAGTGGGTTAAGTGGCTGACTTCCGCTCAGGTCATGATCTCATGTCTCATGAGTTCGAGCCCAATGTTGGGCTCTGCTGACAGCTCAGAGTCTGGAGCCTGTTTCGGATTTGGTGTCTCTGTCTCTCTCTGACCCTGCCCCGCTTGTACTCTGTTTCCCAAAAATAAACATCTAAAAAAAAAAAAAAATTAAAAAAATTTTTTTAAAGCTACAAATAAATTATAAAATTGAAATATAAAATAAATGCAATTAAGAATTCAGTGCATGGGCTTAACACAGATTAAACAAATCTGAAGAGCAGGTCAGAAGAAAACAAAACTGAAGCATCAACAGGGAGAAAAGTATATGAAGGTGTCAAAAAAAACTGTATCATAGTAAAATAAGTTGTATGTTTACTGTGCATGATTAGAACTACAGTAAGAGAGGAAAGAGAATATGAAACAAAAATTTTTTAGAATTTATGCAAGATATCAAAGCTAAACATTCAAGAAGATCTACAAGCCCCAAGTAAGATAAATATAAAGAAAAGCACATCCAGACACACCTTAGTGAAACTGGA